TGGTCCGATCACGACGAGAGAAAATTCAACAACTCCTTGTCTTGCACGAGTCGATCACCAACTTCGTGGCCAAAGGCTGGATACTGCGGGCACCGGACCCAGACGACGAGGACAACACGACCATTGAAATAGTGTTTGTTTACACAGACCACGTATACCAGCTTAGTGCGTTTCGTGGCTGTTTTCTCCGCCGTTCGCCGCTCACAGCTCTTTTCAGGCCTGCAATTTACCGTCTGCCTCATCGACCCAGATGAAAGTGTTGATCGCGAGAAGTGTCGATGGGTCGTTCAATATCGTCCGCATGCTCTGCATCGCTTCTTTAAGGGAGAGCCCCAGACTCAGGATATGAGCCTGATGCACCCTTATGACCAGGACAAGTGGTGCGCCATGGGCCCTAATAACGAGGGTGCCACCCTGTTCGCGGATATTCAGCAAGTCGTTGCAAACGTTGGATCGACTCTCCGTTTGCCACGGGCGCCTGGAATCAACTTCACCGTCGACATGGCTTCGGCGCGCCGATGTCAGGAGCCCGACGGAGAGCCATCCGCTCGCCCTAGTCGACGAACTCGATCACCGATCCGACGCCAACATCGATTGAACGATGCCATACAGCGACAGGACGATCTGCATAGGCGCGTGATGAGGGCGGAGCGTCTCGTCGGCGCAAACTTGGGTATGTGGTGGCCTCTGAATAGAGGCCTGTCGGAATCCGTCGCCTTGGAGACGTCTGTGTGGGCTCAGTTGCGATTCTTTGGTGTGTTTCTCATTGGCCGGGAACGTCTTGGACCGGATTGTGAATACGAGGCAATGGGGCGCAGAAGTCAAATCGAATGTTATTCGCTTTCCTTTCAAATTGGCACCTTGCGTTAGTCGCCCAATCACTGTGTCAAAAAGCCATTCATCTGTGCGCCCGTACCTCTGGGCATACGCTCACCCCCTCCGCACTTCTTGTGCTTTCAAGGATATACGTTCGACGGCACATGGAAAGCGGGGTTTCGGAACAAATCCACGAGGCAGTGAACCTTGCACGGCAAGCGTTACTGGAAAACAGAAGCAACGACAAGCAGCGGTACTTGCGGTGTCTCGCGATCTCCCTCCGTTTGTGGCACGAATCCTTGGGCGATCGACGGGATCTCGACGAAGCTATCGCTACTGTAGCGGAAGCATTACAGATTTGCCCTCCTACGCACATTCACAAAGGTTCTTTGCTGCATAGACAAATGTCTTCGCTCCGGACGAAATTCGAGCTTTCTGGGGCTACCGAGGATTACGAACATGCGCTCGCCATAGGCCGGCACGCGTTAGAGGAAGATTGCATTCGGGGAAACGACAGGGCCGATATTTTGGGAACGATCGCCATCATGCTCCGTCTCCGAGCATCCATGGTCGAGTCTTCAGACTCCGGACGCATGCTTGATGAATCTGTCCAGCTCAGCCGGGAATCCTTTCGATGCGCACTTCCCCACGGCAATCCTCGCCGCTATGCGAGCAATAGGCTGATATACGCTTTGCGCGGAAGGTTTGTGCGAAACGGCGACCCGCGCGATCTTGAAGAGGCGATTGTAATAGGGCATCAGGTCATGG